AGAGACATGTCAGACACGCTTCCATTAGCTTCCCTTTCAATGTGCATTTAACAGATAATTCGTTATCATCACAGTCCAAAGTTAACCTGCTGGAAATCTGCTGCGGGAGAGCTGGCTGCAGCTGCAGCGTTTCAGCTGGGCATAAACAAACGAAAAAAACACAGCAGAAGCTTGTTTTTGATTAAACCCACCGCTGCCAGGCACAAATACGTATTTTGTGGGTGGAAGTTCATTGGGGCACAAGCACCAAAGATCATCCCTCCCCCGCTGAAACACAGACTTTGTGCCCCGCGCTGCACGTCCCCATCCCACACCTGCAGGAAGCAGTTGGGGTTCGGCTGCACCTCCTGCAGCAGGAAGCTGCTGCTCAGCCTGCTTCTGCCCCAGCTCGCTGCTGTTCCTGCACCCCTCCCATCCCTCTGTGAGGTTTCAGACGATGCTTCGGCACGAAGGCGCTGGGCAGATCCCTGCGTGGGCACTGCAGAGCTGTGCATGCACGTGGCTGTGTAATACCGTAACAAGATTACCCCAGGACACGACGGCTGTGAAATAATCCACGATATCACTCAGCAAATCCCAGGATCCAATTACTGCTTTGCATGACACCATCCCGGAATGGGGGGCTGAGCAGTGCCGTCCAAGCTCCGCTCCCCGTGCCCTGGTGTCACTCAGCATTAGCAAGTTTAGCCAATTTTTTAGTGGAGTGCTGGCCTCACAGCAGCTCCCTGTGCCTCCTGCATGCAGCCAGGCCTCCCTCCCAGCAGCTCCCAAGCATCAGCCCCAGCACCGCCTGGCCGCTCTGCAGTGCTGCTCTGCCCAGCGCACGGAGCAGAGGAGCAGGGTGATGTGGCCATGCTGAGCTCTGCTGTTTGCAAACAGCTCTGCAGGGCACGTTCCTTGGCCCAGCACCTGCTCCCTGCAGCCAGCAGGAGCACAAACCCCAGCACTCCAAACCCAGCAGTGCTCCCGCAGCGCCCGAGCAGCACTCTGCCCTTGGCAGGTGTTCAGACAGCAGCGCTGCTGCCAAGACAGGACAGGGAACGTGGCCAGCTGCAAATTTAGTTCATTTTTGGAGCCTTTGAATCGCTGGCCGGCTGCCAGGCTTGTTATTTGTTATTTGTTGGTCTCTTTAAGTTTTTTTTTTTTTTTTTTTTTTTTCCCAAGTGAATTTCAAGCTGCCAAGTGGAGCCAGGCAGAGGAGCTTGGCAGCGCGGTCCACCCCGAGCACCAGCAAACCTGGGCTCTCACCTCTGCTGCAGTGGGAATAGAATTGAAGCTCCCAGCACTACAACTCCTGCACTCTGCCCTGCTGCACAGGGATGGCACAGCACTGGGCTGGAGGCCTGGGCTTGGCAGGCAGTACGCAGTGCTTGTGGCCTCTGCGAGCCCAGCCAGTGGTGATTAGGAAGAGAAACAAAATGGGGGTAATTTAAAAGGGAAGAAATTGCTGTTCCGTCTTGGAAACCTGATCCATAGCTCCATTTCCCTCCAGAGGAGAGAAACAAAGGCTTTCAAATGACTGCCTCAGAGGGCAGGGTGGAGAGGGGCTGCAGGGCTGGGGCCAGCAGGAGCTAGAGGGTGGGGATGGGAAGGATGGGGAGGATGGGGAGGATAGGGCAGGGATGGAGCAGGGGTGGGGCAGGACAGGTATGGATGGGGCAGGGATGGGATGGGATGGCTAGCTGGGATGCAGGGGCCGTGGGGCAGGCAGGTGGGCTCATGTTCTATCCCCTCCCCCCCACTTCGTGCTCGGTCAGGCTGCCCTTCCTCTGCCCACAACCTTTCCCCCACACCTCCTGCCCTTGTGTGAGCCCCCACAGCACCCCAGGGATGAAGGAGCCATTCTCTGGAGCCCAGGTGAGCCCCAAAGGAGTTGAGGAAGCAGTGAGTTTTCCTTGGTGTTTGCTTTAGGCAGAGCTGTCGCTGCAAATCAGGGGGCTCGTGCTGCAGGGCCTGGTGCAGATAACGGTCTTGGTATGAGGATGAGCTCCCCTGGTGAGTGCCATGTGGAGAACTTGAATGGGGGCTCTAAAGTTGAATGCAAAGTAAAAGATTAAGATCGGTATTTGTCCCTTTTCTTCCTTTTTCCTTCCTACCGGAGCAAAAATACTCCTGTTTATTGCTACAAACCCTCGGGGCTGTATGGTGAACTCCCAGCGGGAACCAATGTCTCAGGAGATCAGAGATCCCAAGAACATCCTCCTGCCAAAGCTGCCTCTCTAATCAGCCCCGTTCATCTCCCTCTGCAACTCTATTTGAGAAACGAGTACGGGTCAAACACAGGACAGCTTCCTCAACACTACCACCCATCTGCAGCCTCCCTCAGGTCACGCATTGGGGTGGTTCACGTTGGACACCTTCACACTACCTTTTTTCTGTAGCCTGGCCTGCATATCTGTGCTCAATCTGCAAATCCACCGCTGCTGTTCCCCATCAGCAGAGCTCACCCAGCACTGCCCCTCTGCTGCCATGCGCTGAGCTGCAGCACCAAGCTCCAGACCTTCCCGCTGTATATTCTTCCTAAGAAAATAAAGCATCACTGTCCTATTAATTATGTGAGTTACGGAGCAATATTTTTCCCAGAGTCACCTACTGGTTTGCATATTATTTTTCCAGGCAGCTCAGCCAGTAGCCTGGCAACGCGGTGACCTTATGCTCTGCGCAGCTTTGAGTGTTATATCAGCCACACTGGACTCTCTCCACTGCTCCATATTGCTCAGCCCCTCATTAGTGCAATTAATAAGCCGCTTCTGTCAATTCAATCAAATGCCAGGCTCGACAGCAGCGGAAAGTTTTGGCAGATCGGGTAGGAGAGATTCTGGGCAGCACTGGGAAATTGCAGGAAACCTTTCATCTCCCCCAAGGAGCTGAACAAGAATGGGATTGTGGGCCTGGGATTCTCTCAGGTCATGTTTATTTATTGCCTGCTCGTTAGTATAATAAATCAGATCCCCTGTCACTTTGAATGAAATCAGAGGTTTGCTGGAAGGAACTTGGCAGAACACCTTGATATTATTCGTGATGGTGCAGACAAAGGCTCACGGAAGGCGATGCCCTGGCTGGGCAGCACCTCCCACGCGGCAAAAGCAATCTGGCCACAGCAACGTGGTCATCCCAGGGCAGGGAGGGATGTGATGGGCTGGGTGCACACTGCACAACCACACTGCACAGCACGGTGTGCCAGGGGTGCACGGCAGTGGGCAGGGATGCTCCTCCTGCTGCCGCCAGTCCCAGGGGACGTTTGGTGGGAGAGCTCCCTGCCCTGCTGCTGCTCTGCCATCACTGCCCCGGCTGTGTGCAGGAGGCAGAGCTGCTCCTCCACCTGCAGTCACATGCATTGTGATGGCATTTTACTTCTCACTGTGGACTTTGCTCTGGCTCTGATGTTGCTGTGCTCCTTGGACCCTGCGCTGGCCCTGGGAGCTCCTATGGCTGCAGGCAGGACCCCGGTGGGAGGAGGAGGCCTTGGTGAGCATGGTGTGGGTCTGATGGGACGCTGCAAGGTCAGGCTGTGCCCATTGCATTGCTGGGAGCACCCTGGGGCAGCAGCAAGGAAGAACTGCTGTTCTGTTGGTCTGAGCAGCACTGCAGGTGAACGGCCCAGAAACGTTCCTAAAATAAAACTCCCAGGGACATTCTTTGATCTGGTCTGGCAATGGAAGCGCTGAATAAAATAAGAACTTTCAAACTATTAATTCCCAAGGTTATGATGTAACAGTTATGTTTTATTGGTCAATTTATGACAGCATTCACTCTCCACACCGGGATAAACGTTAAACTCTTCCTAATTGCTCAAAAGATGCAATGCTGGGGGTCAGCTCGTGTCCTCATTGCAGCAGGACCAGCGGAGCACCCCGGCCCCACTCGTTAGCAGCTGCGACTCCCGCTGACCCATAAACGCCCTCAGGGAAAGAAAGCCGCTGGGAGGAGAGAAAGGGCCAGCTGAAGATGCTGTTATTGCTGCAGTAATTTCCCTGGAAAAACGACCCCCGGCTGCAGCTATGTACAAAGAGGAGGAGGAGAAGGGCCGCTCCGCTGAGCCGCCGCCCCGCCGCCCCCCGCCCCGGGCGGTTCCGCGGTGCAGACCGGGCGGCAGCTCGCACTCCCCGCGGGGGGCGGTCGGAGCGAAATACCGCCGGACACCGCCGGGCTCCTCGGGGCTCGCGTGCCCCCCAGCGGTCAGCGCGGCCCGGCGCAGGGACCGCAGCCGGCGGAGGGGAACCGCCGCTCCCACGGCCGGGACGCAAGGACAGCCCGAGGCGGGGCGGGGCGGGGCGCGATCCCGACGGCTGCGGTCGGAGCGGGGGAGCGGCGCAGCGCTGGGGCGGGCCGCTGTTGGCGTGCGAACGCGGCTGCAGTAGCGATGCTGTCACGCATGCAAATTGCGGTGGGAATCATTGTCGGAGCCCCGCGCGGGGCGCTCGGCTTTGTTTCGCTGAGGCGCTTCGTTGAGCTTCAACAGCCCGACAGAAGGAGGCGCGGGGCGGGAAGGGGCCGGACACCGCAACCTGCAACCGCAACCTGCAACCGCAACTTAAAACCGCACGGCGGGAAGGGGGCGGGGCCTGATTCGTGCGGGGCGTGGCTTAACGAGATAGTGGGCGTGGTCTGATGTGCGGGGGGGCGTGGTCTGATGTGCTCAAGGGGCGCGGCATGGTATCTCAAAGGGGCGTGGCTTAGTGTGATAGTGGGCGTGGTCTATTTTGCTTTGTGGGCGTGGCCTGGTGTGCTCAGGAGGCGGGGCCGCCGTGTGGGGCGTTGCGTGAGCTTTCGGGGCGGGGCTACCTGAGGCCACGCCCATTTCGCAGCCTTAGCTCCGCCCCTCGCCGCCCGCACGCTGACGTGGTGACGTGGTGCGGCGGGGGCGTGGCGCGGCGCGGGGCCGGGCGGGCGGTGCGGGCCGCGCCGCGCTGAGCCGGGGATGCGGGGAGCGGGGCCGGGCGGCGCGGCCGCCCGCGGGGCGCTGCCGCTGTTGCTGCTGCTGCACCTCCTGACGGCGCTGCGCGGGAGGGCGGCCGACGTCGAGCCCTGCGCCGCGCCCTGCTCGTGTCGCCGCGGCCTGCTGGACTGCAGCCGGCAGCGCCTGCCGCCCGGGTCCGGCCCGCGGAGGATCGCACCGCTGCCCGCCGGCATCACGGCGATGTGAGTGGGGCGGGGCCGGGCGGAGCGAGGCCGAGTCTGAGGCCTAGCGGGCTGAGGGCTGCGGTGAGGCCCGGCCGGGGCCTAACGGGTCTGCGGGTGCTGCGAGCCGCGCTCGGCCTCCGGGCGGTGCCATGGGATGGGATGAGCTGAGCTGAGCTGAGCTGTGCTGACCCGCACTGACCCGCACAGCACCGCGGCTCTAGGATGGGCACCGTGCTGGCAGGCAGTGCTGGGTGTTCCCTACAAACAGGAGGGGAGTCAACTCTTGGAAAGGGCAGATAATGGCAGGACAAGGGGAAATGGTTTGAAGTTGAGGGAGGGAAGATTGAGGTTGGATGTCGGGGGGAAGTTCTTTGCTATGAGAGTGGTGGAACAGCTGCCCAGAGAGGCTGTGGATGCCCCGTCCATCCCTGGTGGTGTTCAAGGCCAGGTTGGATGGGGCCCTGGGCAGCCTGGGCTGGTATGAAATAGGGAATTTGGTGGCCCTGCTTGTGGCAGGGGGTTGGAGCTTCATGATCCTTGAGGTCCCTTCCAGCCCTGGCCATTCTGTGGTTCTGTTCTGCTGGGTGCCATGCTGGCTCTGAGCAGCGTTATGCAATCCCACATCTGCTGCAAACAACATTCAGTGCGTTCTCTGTTGTGGCTTTCAGGATTTTGGCACGTGGAGCGTTTCTGGGGGGGGGTGTGACGTTTTTCTTTCCGTCTGACAGCTGTGGTGGTTCTGAATCTCAGCGAGCTGTGATGCATAAAAGCTGTTTAAAATGAATCAAAGCGTATTTTTCCTCACATCACAAAGTCCCAGATGGGTTTCCCCCCCCCCATTGCTGTCGTTTCACCCATCTGTAAGGACCAAAACATCCCCTTTCTCATAACTGCCAGACCTGCAGTGATGCTGGCTGTGTGCTTTGGTTTTCCTTGCTGCCAAGAAAGCACCTTTGGTGCACATTGTCCTGATGAAAGCAGACAGCTGTAAGTGCATTTTTCCTGCTAAATCACACGTGCTGTGTGGATAAGTGAAGGGTGATGGAGAATCAGGCACTTGGTGAATGCTGCTCTGTGTTGTAGCATTGTTCAGAACTCACCCTATGGGGTGTTGTCAGTTTTTGGCTTTTCCAGGGCAATGGGATGCTGTTTGGTTCTGGATGGAGCAGCATCAGTCCCACTGTCAGTTTGTAGACCACACTGTGCTTTTCACTTTGTGTTCATTCATCCATCAGTCTGCTTCACACAGGGCAGCAGTAACAAGGTGGAAATAAGTCAGTGCTTCTCCAAGGATGAACCAGATACAAAATTTCTCCTAAGAAGTCTACATGAAAACTTTGTTAACAGCATCATCCCAGTTAACCATCACAGCATCTCCCTCCTTTAGTGAAAGAGGAGTGTGCATCAGAAACACAGCTTACAGCTTTTAGGTTGCATAAAATGCACGATTTTTCTTAATTCCTGCACCCAGAATAACTTTTCTCTCTGTTCTGCAGGGATTTAAGTCACAATCATATTTTGTCATCCAACTGGAGCATGGATTTGTCTGCTCACATTCTGCAAGAAGTGTAAGCATTTTTCACAATGATAAACTCAGCCTAATTGTAATAAGTACTGCATACCAAGATAACTGGTCTGACTTGCAGAAATATGCAATACCAGTTAATTTAACATGGATGCTTTGCTGGCAGCGTGTTTTATGTAAAACTGATCTCACAGAAAGAAAACTTTCTCATAAAAGATGAGAGGACTGATACTTGTGAAAAGAAATGAGACGTTTGTTTTCACTCTGTCAAATTATGAGTTAAAGAGAAGTGATGGTGTCCATTAAAAATGGTGGAAGCTGATGGGCCTCACTGTGAAGTTCTTCAAATTATTGGTATTTATGCTCTGCTTTGTCAACTGATGTTATTAAGATGAAATTGTTGAATGTTTGGTGATTGCATTTTCTGCTGCATGTATATGGAACGGGTTTTCTCCTCTTTGTGTCAGTAAAGATTGTTTTTTGCTTTAAGGAAAATGAATTACAATGAACTGAGTGAAATTCCATATTTTGGAGAAACGACTTCTAATATCACCCTGCTCTCACTGTAAGTAACAGCTTGGCTGCTTTCTTGTTCAGCAAATGGGAGAATTGTAGCAGTGCTTTGGGGAATAGTAGCACTCCTTAGAGAAGTAGGAATCAGTGAGACAATCGAGTCACCCTGAATTACCAATGAAGTGCAGTCAGATATGGCAGGCAGCTTTGAAGAGGAGGGATTGGGTCTTAGAATGACACTTCCCATAAGGAGCAGCCTGATTACAGACCCAGAATGTGAATCTGTTCATATGTCAGAGCAGCACATAACTGTTGGACTTCCAGTATTGCTTTAAGAAGGAATGTTCTGAAGTGTGTGCTGCGTTTCCAGTTTGGGAGGTGCACTGATGATGCTGATATGCAGCATCCTATAGCTGTTTCAGCTGTGCAGCATGGAGGATGGGATGTTTTGGGAATCGTCTCTTGCTGGTGTTTTTTCAGGGTGCACAATGCCATTCCAGAAATAAATGCTGAGCAGCTCCAAGTTTACCTTTCATTGGAAAATCTGGATCTGAGTTCCAATCTTATCTCAGAAATTAAAGCTGCTTCTTTTCCACGGATGCAACTGAAGTACCTGTAAGTATGTGTGTGTTGTGCCTGGGGTTCCTGGCAGCAGTGCTGAACACCTCACCTGCTCTGTATTTCTGTCTTAATATAGGATTTGAGCTGGCAGGAACAAACGTGCCTGAAATAAAATGCTGCTCCTAGCAGTTTGTCTTGCTTTTTCTCAGATAGTATGGAAAACAGTGCTGTCAGAATGCTGGTACATCAGCCAGCAGGGACGTGGAGTCATTTCTGCTCATTTTATGCAGATCCTTGTTGACATTGCTTTAACCATGCCTAACTGAAGTGTGGGCCTGTGGTTTTGTTCATAGAGTTCTCCATGTTCTAAAAGGTTTCTTTTCCCTCTTTTTCCCTTAGGAATCTGAGTAACAACAGAATCAGCACCCTAGAAGCAGGCTGTCTCGATAATTTATCTAGCTCTCTCGTAGTGCTGAAGCTGAACAGAAATAGGATTAGTGTGATTCCACCAAAGATCTTCAAATTGCCTCACGTGCAGTTTCTGTAAGTTGTAGTCTCGAAAGCTCACAAAGATGCTGCGTGCATTTGTGTTGTTGTGTTGTTCATTGTGATGTATTTTCTTGACGATCAATTGTGTTTTAATATTTTGCTGTCCTGTTTATATAAGGGAACTGAAAAGGAACCGGATTAAAATTGTGGAAAGTCTTACATTCCAAGGCCTGGAGTCCCTAAAATCCTTAAAAATGCAGCGCAATGGGATTAGCAGACTCATGGATGGAGCATTCTTTGGCCTCAACAGTATAGAAGAACTGTGAGTACACTTAGTGCTAGAATTTCTCTTAGGGATTTTTGAGCTGTGTGGAGGGGCAGAATCATGTCCTGTTTGGCTTCCCTTACACCAGGGCTGTGCTGAAACAACTCAGGATATGAGTTTATAGATCTGCATTTTCCCATTATGTTGGTGTATCTGGTTACTCTAGAGGTGGAAGGATACTTCCTTTCTGTGCCATGCAGTGTTAGCAAAAGTTTGTTTTGTTGTTGTTTTTTTTTTTTAAGTAATATTTTAGAGACTGTAATTTCAGTTCTGCTGGATTGCTTTTGCCACTGCTGTTATGGGTTTTTTTATTTACCCTTTTGTTCATTCTTGGTTTCTATTAAATGAATATAATCATGCATTTCAGGTTCTATAAGGCTTAGTGTTAGTAAATCATTCTGAGATCTACTTGGTAAATTTTCGGAAAGAAATATTTCATTGATTATCTGTTTGGCAAATGTTTTTCCTTCTATTTTCCTTAGAGAACTGGAACATAATAACTTGACAGAAGTAAACAAGGGCTGGCTGTATGGTCTGCGGACACTGCAACAACTCTTCGTGAGCCAGAATGCCATTAACAAGATCAGCCCAGATGCGTGGGAGTTCTGCCAAAGACTTGCTGAGCTGTAAGCCCTGGGCTGCTTTTCAGTGGGGATTTTGTAATGTTGCAAATAACATATTGGATAGCACAAATACAGTGAGTTACTGAAGGAAGTACTTGACTTCTTTGCTAAGCCTGTGTATTTTAGGTTTTTTTTTTTTTAATAAGTCTTCTGTTAGAAATTAATCAAGATTCAGTACTTAATTGTTTGATGGTGTCATTACGATAAATCTCCTCCACATGCCTCTGAAGTGCTTGCTCAATGTTTTCAGAGACCTGTCATACAACCAGCTAACTCGCCTCAGGGAATCTGCCTTCGTGGGACTTGGTTTGCTGGAGAATCTGAACTTGGGAGACAATCGCATCAGTCACATTGCTGATGGTGTCTTCAGAGGTCTGACAAACCTTCGAACCTTGTGAGTGAAGAACGTTTCTAGTAACAACCTCATTTTAATGCAGCAAAACTTTTAGGAGGTGAAGGTGATGAGCATTGCTCTCAACAAGTCTGAGGTCGGTGTTTTGCTGTTCTTATATGCTGTCCTGCCTTCAGATACGACAGGGCTGATCATCATTTGGTGTGCTGAGATAACAGAACCTTGGCATAGCTAACACAAACCAACCACTTAATGTTAGTGGTGCTAATGAGCAGTGACTTGATGACCTTGAGCTCTCAATTGCATACCATACCAGGTGTGAGGAGGTGTGGACAGTCAGCTTGCAGAAATGCCACCTGGACCTCTCTTTCATTCCAGGTGTTGTTCTTAGGGTTGGAACCTGCTGGCTGCTGTATGCGTGCAGGAGTCACAGCACAGCATGTAGGAGAGGTGTAGGATTGCTCCTTTCCATCAGAGGCACAGCTCTGCTTTTGTCAGGACCTTTGTCACCAGCTGGAGCTGTTCAATACTGCTGACAGAACCCAAGTATTAATTAATAAAAAAAAAAACAACCTCAAAACCTCAAGTAGGTCCAAATGCTTACGATCATCCTAAACAAAGATAGTTGAGAAAAGAGTGAAAGTTTATAACCCCTCTGTCAGTTCATTAAATAAATGCTTAAATAAGCAAACTTAGCAGAGAAATTTATGTAAGCAGTCATATTCTGTTAACCTTAATGCAACCTTTTAATGAAATAATTAGAACTAATTTCTTAGATTTAGAGTAGCATGAAAGAAGAACAAGAGCAGATTAATTAGTCGGTTTTCCCGGGCTCCTCAGGGGCGAGGAACAGCTGAAAGGGTGCAGTCTGCTTCAGGCTGGAATTTGCAGGACAGCAGCTCCAAGCATTCGTGCCCAACCAAGCAGAAGGAGCAAACTCCTCCACTCACACAATGAAGTGCTTTTCTTTTGGGCTGCTCGCTCATTTTACTGAGCAGTTGAAGTAGTGGAGTGTGAAAATACTTCAAACAAGAGATACTGTGCTGCTGTCAGATTGCTTCCATTGTTGCTTGTATATGATTTGTTTCAGTGCTGAGACTGGCATAAGTGTTTGTATGTTCAGCCCCTGCCACCGTTCTGCACGGTCGCTTCAGTGACCAAAAACAAACTCAAATCTGTACGTAAAGCACAAGGTAATAAGAGCACAGTAAGATTAAAGGTGGATTGAAGAACAGCCCTGAAGTTTGAGAATTTAGAACTTCAAAACAATTAATTAATTCTTAATACTGTGACTTGGCGTTGATGCCTCTCTGGCATTCGTAGTATAAAATTCTGAAGCAGAGCTGGAGAGAATTCAAGAAAATAGTTCAAATCATAAGAATTAGCAACTTGGGAATGCGTTTGGCATATTACTCATCTAGTCGTTTTTCTCATTAGATCATATCTGTATCCAGTACATTAAACTGAACACATTCCAAAGAGGAAAATATCTTAATGTCAGCAAGTGCTGAGGCTGTATTGAAGTCCCTGGGATACATGAATTGTGGAATCACAAGCACTCTTTTATTTTTGTCCTAAACTTTAAAGTACACCTATTGCAGAAATGACTCGTGCAAGGTATTAAGGACAAGGCTTCTGTCATTCAAAGTGAGAAAGTGTGATACCCCTGACAGCATCCTGGAGACTGATCCTGGTATCTTCCAGGACATTAATCTACACATTTTACAGCTCCACCCAAGGGAATATAGATGCTGCCTTTTTCCACCCTTAGCAAAAGGGAAGTAGCATTATATGAGATGACACACACAGTTGTATGTGTAGTTAGCATTCTGTGTCACAACTTCTTTGGAAGGTCCATCAAGCTGAGGCATGTAATGATACCTGGTAAGGTGCAATATAAACTGTTTTTCATCTGTTTATCTTCCTTTAAACACTTCTGTCTGCAAATTCTTCTGTGCACAGTGGTTTTAAGGCACAAAAACTCTTTGTTTAGTCCATGCCATTCTAGCTGAAAATTTCTGAATTTATTTCATCTTCTCTCTAAAAATCATTTGATCCTTCCCAGACCGTTCTGCTCTATTGCTTTTACTGCTTAGACCACACTGTTCTGTGTGAGGGGCAGAAAAGCTGTGCAGAGATCAAACAGAAATCTCATTAGCTTGTAACAAGATTTGTGAGCAGAATATCAACTTCAGTCTGAAAATCTACTACTTTGTGCCTGGCAACCTTGTTCCATAACCTGTGTGTAATCTCTTAGTATGCTAATGCTGTTATAAGCCTGTTACTCAGGCAGGTTAATGCTGCAAGTGTATTGGTTAACTCACTTGCATGAACCAACTTGCTGCAGGAGCCTCTCCCAGCTCCTGGTAAATGGTCCATCACGTGAGTGCTGCTCGTCAGGCTGGGTCTTTCCTTAAAAACCACATCAAAAAATCATACTTCAGAATTCATTTGTGATTCTGTCTGAGGCACTGATCTTCAACAAATCTATTTTCCCTCGCATCTCTCAAGTTGAGTGATCATCTTCTAACAAATGTAGTTCTATAAAAGTTCTGAGACCTTCCATTTGACACTGTCCCATAGAATCATAGAATACCCCAGGCTGGAAGGGACACATGAGAGTCATCATGTCTGATTCCAGGCTCCACACAGGGCTACCTAGAAATTTAAACATATGTCTTAAGAGCGTTTTCCAAACGCTTCTTGACCTCCAGCAGGCTTGGTGCTGTGACCACTTTCCTGGGGAGTCTGTTCCAGTGCCTGACCCAGAACACCTTTCCCAGGCATATATAACAGTAAGTTTTCTTCCATAGCTAAGCACTAGCAGTGGTCGTGATGATGTTGCAAGGTTTGTAAGAAGACTTTTCTGCTCCTGCAGGGACTTGGGGAACAATGAGATCTCCTGGGCCATAGAGGATGCGAATGAAGCATTCGTGGGACTCAGCAGGCTGGATAAGCTGTACGTATTACAAAGCATCAGAGTGACAGTGCTTCAGAAGCAGATAAAAGAGGGAAAATGCAAAATATAGAGTAATTGTGAATGGCTTGAGTCAGAAAGCCTTTCTGATTGGCAACTGAGTTTCCTCTTCTATGCTAGGACAACTCACTGTGGATTTGGGTTCTGTGCTTGTGACCACTGAGTCTGTGTAGTGCTGGATCGTTTTGCAGGACAGTTTGAAGAAGTCAGGCATTTGAATGCAGCTGTTACTGAATAGCTCACTCGTCACAGTTTGGTGACTGTTACTCTTTGTGCCTTAGTTTGGGAAAAACTTATGTTTCTCTGAGGGAAGGGGGGAAAAAAGTATTGTTGAGCAAATATGAAACAGCATTCAATTATCAGTTTTTCAGTACTTTGGCACTCTATTCAGTGCTGTGTGCTTTGTAGGAAAATAAAGCATTCTGTGGAGCTGCAAACACTGCTTATGACAAACAGCATAAGTGTGTGGTCTCAGGAGCTAATGTGTCTGTGGCAGATTAGGAACTTGTTGCTCCCTCCCAAGAACTGTTCCGTTCTGCTGCTTTAATTTTCTTCTGGCCCATCTCAAAGATAGAAAAGAAAAATACTATCCTTCAGAAAATTAAATGACTGAATACCTTTTTTTTTTTTTGAGCTTAAACTCTTCTAGAATGAAAAACACCTTTGTTAAACATCTTAGGGAACTTCTCTGGGTCTTATTTATGAGCTCGCCTTGAGATTGACTGCTTTCTGGGCTTGGTACTTGTGTTGCAGAATCTTGCAAGGAAATCAGATTAAATCAATTACGAAGAAAGCATTCTCTGGTCTTGAAGGACTTGAACATCTGTAAGTACTTTGCTCTGTAGAACTCTTAGTTGTTTATTGCTTTCAATTTTATATTCTCTCTCAAATTTACAGTGATTTAACTGAAGGTAGCGTGTGAAATCACTCCTACCCATTGTTGTTCTTTGCAGAGATTTAAGCAACAACGCAGTAATGTCCATCCAAGAAAATGCATTTGCCCAGGCTCAACTGAAGGAGCTGTAAGTTTATGACAGTTGTTTACAGTTCTTACAATTCTGACTTTTGTAAAGAATCCATCAGGTGTTGTGGAATTGACTGATGTACATCCCACTCCCATAACAAGAGAGTTAAAGCAAGCAGTTCTTGTAACTTACCTGCTAAAAGTCACTGGCAGTACACTAAGTTTGATGTAGGGCTTGACAAAATCTGCATCTCCATTTCCTTAATTATAATCAGAATTGATGATCTGTATTTCAGAATAAATTGTTCACCAGGACTTTTGGGGCAGGGGGGAGGTTATCAAAACATCCATTTTGTCATCTCCTTTTTCAGGCTAGGGAAAGACCTTAACATTCACAGCTAGACAGAAGATTTTAGATGCTCAGTGGATGCTTAAGCTGCTATAGAGCCTCCTGTCACCTTCAGACACGTGAAGTATGATAACATGAAGTGACATTAGCACCCAAGAGTAATCCCAGCGTAACACAGTTGTCTGTATGAGATAAAGTCTCTGAATATCATGTAATCTGTTTTAAAACTGTTATCTGGTTAGTGTTGGCCATATGGACTGTTAGTCTGCAAGGTCTGCTAGTCTGAGGAAGGTGAGGAGAAGCACACTTACATGTGAGCACAAAGGAATGCTGTAAATCTTATAAGTTCTGAAAGTATATGCTTTAAAATTGTTGTACTGGGTGAAATGCATGACCTTTGATCACACTTGCATTTTGCCTTGTTTCTGCAGGATTTTGAACACTAGCAGCTTGCTCTGTGATTGCCAGCTGAAGTGGCTGCCACAGTGGCTCACTGACAGTCACTTACAGCAGGCTGTGAACGTCAGCTGTGCTCACCCTGAGTGGTTGGCAGGGCAAAGCCTGTTCAGCGTGGACCCCAATGACTTCGTCTGCGGTTTGTATTTTTAATTACTTGTGACATCAAAACGTAGTAATGCAGATCTGTGCAGGTATCTTTCTGAAACCAGGCTGCAGCACTGTTGGAGGTGCTTGGTCTGTGTAATTCTGTGAGACTGCTTTGTTTTTTTCATTTAGATTACTGTTTAAAAACTGACTGTGTTTCCATTTCTCCTGTGTGTGAATGCCTTTTGCTTTAGAAGGGGTATTTGGCTCTTTCTTGTTTGCTCTTCTCCATACCAGCAAGGCTAGGATAGCTAATGCTCTGACATATTTTCTGATGCTCAGAATCTGTAACGTTTATCTGGTCTCTGTGCTGCCACAGTTTCAGACATAAGCCTATTTATTTCTGTAACCAAACTGTGAAATGGAAAACTGAGAGACTGCCCACAGTCATGTGTGAAGTCTGCAGCAGTGCTGGAAATAGCCTGCTATTCTGTTATCCAAAGGAGTAGTCTAACAAGTGTTGCTTTTGCATACATAATTCTTTAATTGTTTTGGTGGTAAAGGATACAATAATCACCATGTAGGCACAAACATCTGCTTCTCCATTCTGATGTTACCAATGCTGAGTGCTGTGTGCCTGTGAGGATGTCTCTGCTGTAACAAGAGGTGTCAGAATAACTGTTCAACTGAGATAGTGTAAACTTCTTGCAATGCTTTGTGTTTGTATAACTTAAAGGCTTTTCAGGAGATTAAACTGCCTGAAAATAAATCTGCTCCTTGTGAACTAACCCAGCTCTTCAGCTGAGCACGTGATCTAAATAGGGCGAGTTCCAGAAGGTTGTGGAAAGGAAAGGGCTGCTCAAGACCGTGATTCTGCACTGATTGTTCTCAGTGCTTCTTCTGCACTCCTACCTGTGGTTCTAATCCTCCTTCACAGCTTGATTTCTAAATAAAAACAGCTAAATACGTGCCTCCCAAGCAGGACATCTGTTCCTGCAGCTTTCATTCTGCTTACTGTGTCTTTCGAGTGAGTTTTCTTGCAATATTAATTGCATGTGGAAGAGGAGAGTAGCTAATCTTACTGCTTTTATTTTCAGATAATTTCCCTAAACCACAGATACGAGTACATCCTGAGACCACGATTGCTCTGCGTGGCATGAATGTGACTCTGACCTGCACTGCTGTGAGCAGCAGTGATTCACCCATGTCCACAGCCTGGCGTAAGGACAGCGAAGTGCTGTATGATGCAGAGGTTGAGAATTTTGCCAGGTATCAGCAGCAGAATGGTGAGGTTGTTGAGTACACCACTGTCCTGCACCTTTTCAACGTGAATTTCACTGATGAAGGAAAATATCAGTGCATTGTCACCAATCACTTTGGCTCCAACTATTCTGACAAAGCCAAGCTGACCGTTAATGGTAAGTAATAATGGTAATGTAGAAGAAACATTCTAGGTTACAAGTGGAACAAGTCTGATTCTGACACTTCCCTTTTGATTTATAAAATCTATTTGGATTCCTTAGTTCCTGATTAGAGCAGGCCCAAAGTAGCTGTGCAATGATGTCTTGCTGGAGTTTAGATATCTCAAATACCTTTTAATAAAGCAGAAAGAAGTAATGTTGTTAGTGGAAGGCTTTCTGTTCACTTTTGGAAAGGGGCAGGTATGAAAGCGTGGGAGATTTTAGCTCAATTAGTTGTTGATCTGTCTGAGTGGAAGTAGAAATCTCTTAACTAAAAGCTCCCTCTGCTGTCCCTTCATTAACTAGGCACCTTGCCCTAGCTAGAGAAGATTCAACAAAAAAAAAAAATAGCTTGTGGTACTGGAAACCAACTCTGAAAAATCATTTCATGAGTTTCTTTGTTATATTTATTAGCCAAAATGAAGGGTTTCTATTATTTTGGCTTCAGAGAAGGGTGTTGGGAAGACAGCATTCACATCAGCTAGCAAACCACTGTTATGTTGGAGAGCAGAAGTGCACATGCTCTTTCTTTTGGTTACATAGAACAGATAATGCAGATTTCAACTTTGAAAGTGGAAGTTTCACTTTCCCTATTGCTGGGGAAGAGAGAATGGCTTGGATTGGAAGGAACCTCAGTTTCGAGTTCCAAACCCCTGGCACAGGCAGGATTGCCAAGAGATGGATCGAGTACTTGGTCAGGTTGCCCAGGGCTCCATCCAACCTGGCCTTGAATGCCTCCAGGGATGTGGCATCCACAGCCTCTGGGCAGCCTGTCGCAGCCCCTCACCACACTGTCAGTGAAAAACTCCCCCTCTTTTAGTTTAAAACCATTCTCCTTTGTCCTTCCACAACCAGTCTAAAAAGTTGATTTCCTTTCTGTTCATAATTTCCCTGTGAATACCAGAAGGCCACAATGAGGTCTCCCTGCAGCCTTCTCTCCTCCACACTGGCCCAGCTCCTTCAGCCTGACTTTTCCCCATGAAATGCATTGTCCTACAGATCTTAAATAAACACCAGAGATACCATACTTAGGTACTGTATTTAAATTTGAAGGCTAGGCTTTTAGAAACGACCACTGAAAGTTAGTGCAGTTCTTTAGAAGGATCTCCTTTGAACAGGAAGAAGTAAATTTCAGATTTGTTTATTTTCAGGTATTCTGTACTGCAGCACTTTTGCTGCTTTTTTTTTTTTTCGCTTTTTTTTTTTTCCCTGGTGCTGAAAACAGTGAAGCTTTAATGTCTCTCTTGATCCAGAGCTGCCTTCCTTCCTGAAGACCCCCATGGATCTTACAATCCGCACTGGGGCTATGGCCCGACTGGAGTGTGCTGCAGAGGGTCACCCCACCCCTCAGATCTCCTGGCAGAAAGATGGTGGCACAGACTTCCCTGCTGCACGAGAGAGGAGAATGCATGTCATGCCTGAGGATGACGTGTTCTTTATTGCAAATGTGAAAATAGAAGACATGGGCATCTATAGCTGTATGGCACAAAACGCTGCTGGTGGTTTGTCAGCAAATGCTACACTGACTGTGTTAGGTAAGAGACATGCTCATCTCTGCTGGCATGGATCATTTAACTCAACTTGTATAGCTTATCTGTAAGTAGCAGGCTTAACTCCTACAGAAAGAAGTTAAAACATGAAGAAAATAGTTTCTTCTACCTCTGGCTCTAGATGGTATTCTATTATAAGGAAAAAGAGAAGACTGTTTTTTGTCCCTATAGTTGCACCACAAACAGCCCTGTCCACCAAACTTGAAATTTAAACGTTCTGCCTCTGGAAGAACATTTCTAACTGCTTGGCAGGGGTTGGGGCTGTTTGAATACTGAATCCTATGCTTCATTGCTAAAGTTTGCATTCAGGTTGTAAGAGTGGATTTTTATTTCTCATGGAATACACAGTGGGGTTGCACTGTGAAGTTATCTTACAGTTGTTCTGTTTGTTTTCTCCACTGCCACAGAAACTCCTTCCTTTATTAGGCCCTTGGAAGACAGAACAGTAACCAGAGGTGAAACTGCAGTCCTGCAGTGCATAGCTGGTGGCAGCCCTGCCCCTCGCCTCAACTGGACTAAAGATGATGGACCTTTGGCAGTCACAGAGAGGCATTTTTTTGCTGCAGCCAATCAGCTCCTCATCATCGTGGATGCTGGGCTCGAGGATGCTGGAAAGTACACATGCATTATGTCCAACACACTGGGCACTGAGCGTGGGCACATTTATCTCAATGTGCTGGCTTCCCCCAACTGTGACTCCTCCCAAAATGGCATTATCCATGAGGAAGATGGTTGGACAACAGTAGGTGTTGTGATTATTGTTGTGGTTTGCTGCGTTGTGGGAACTTCCCTGGTATGGGTTATTGTGATCTACCACATGAGAAGGAAGAGTGAAGATTATAGCATCACTAATACAGGTAGAGTACTACAGTCACGTTTTCAATCCAAAACACAAAAGGTGAAATTTCTGGTTTTGTTACAGCTGAATAGGATGAAAGGTTTAAAGGTTTCCTTTTAAAGTCTCTTAAGGGATTTGCTCAGATTCACCTTTCAGGTGAAGAGGCAAGCATAGAATGATTTACTTATTTATTAAATGTCAGCAGTATATTTCATTTCTTACACGCTGAATTTGTTCTACCTTGAGGGAAAGCACAAAAAGTTTGGAAATGAATGTTTGAATTAAGTTACAGATGTCTTTAGGACCTGAAATAGTGTGTGAATATCTGTTAGGGCCCTGTTAGTTTCGAACTAGCTATATGAATTTTTCATCAATGACTTAAAGCTGACAGTACCTTTATGGTACCTCCTCACCCTCCACCAAATTCTGAAATTGTGTGTTAATGTGGGTACTGAGCTCTTAACAACATCAGTGTGAATTCTGCCTTGCAGAGGAGATGAACCTACCTGCTGACATTCCCAGTTATTTATCCTCCCAAGGAACGCTGTCAGAGCCTCAGGAAGGATACAGCAACTCAGAGGCAGGAAGCCATCAGCAGCTCATGCCTCCAGCCAGTAGCTACGTGCACAAAAGCACAGATGGTAAGCAACGTCCTCACGTGTACTGTTTGCATTCAGCAGGATGCCAGTGCTGTAGTCCTCGTAGCTGGCAGCAGTGTTGCACAATGTAGGGCAGTGCTGCATGTTAACATCAAAGGTGACTTTCCTTAGAGAAGAATTGAGCATCCATTGAATGTTTTGAGTTTGAAGCATCTCCTGTTTTTCTTCTAGTATTTACATTCTGTGATCAAAGCTGCATGCAGGTAGGGTAATCTTTGGTCCAACAATATCTGGGGTCACATCTGCTCTGGGTGCTTTTGTATATAGATGTCATGACTGCCATCCTTCAAGTCCCAGAGTAGTGCAGTTGCCTCCAGAGGCTTCTTGATTCAGGGTTTGTGATTTGCCCAGCAAGGCTGCATTGTCATTAGAGCTCCTCGATTCAGTGTTGAGTGGAGTTTTGTGCTGCTCCTTTCCTTTGGCATCTCGAAAGTCAAGGATCAGACTAAGCCATGAAAGTCGATGGAAATTAAGCATTCTTGTCCTCTTTGAGAGCATTTTATTTCCTTCCCACTGCTCAGGTGGCACAGCACCATTGGTGATCTGCTCAGACTGTTACGACAACGCAAACATCTACTCCAGGACACGAGAGTACTGTCCCTACTCCTACATCACAGAAGAGGATCCCCTGGATCAAACTCTCCCTAATCTCATGGTGCAGATGCCAAAGGAAACATACCCAGCACACACCCAGCATGAAACCAGTGCTCTTGATAATGTTTTTGGAGACAGAGACATGTCTGTCTTCCTTACCAGTCACGACAGAATAAGTGAGAAGAAAATCTCTTCCCAACAGATTAATGGTGAGTTTGTCCTTTTCCCTCTAGATATTTTTTTATTTGCTGTTATTGCTGACCTTCCTTGTACTTTCATTGTTGATTCACTGCTAATTCTACAGACTCCATAGTGTGTGGAGTAGTTCATCTGTTTATGCACTGCTTGTTAGCAGAGCTAGCCTTCAGTTTGCATCCCGTATGCAAGAGTTGAAGAGGATGATGTTACAAAAGCTGTGTTTTGTAGTGTGCAGTGCATCTCTTAAAGCTTGTGATATGTGACCCCTCCCACATCTGTTAGCCCAGACCTAAGACTTCACATAGGAAACGTACAGCCATTCTGTGTGAGCTGGGTTGAGTTTCAGATGGCTCCAAAAGAATTATTTTTGTAAATTTATTGTTTTTCATCTGGCCTTTTTTCCAGGTAGCCTTTTTAAAGATTCACACTGAAACTGTATGTTGTTTTTGTGTTACTGTAACAAATATTGCTGAAATGAGAGGGCATCCAGCAAAGGGTGCTCTCAAAAACAGAGAGAGTAGCCTCAGAAGGAGGCTGTTGCTAAACAACACAACTCGAAAAATCTAAACCTTGTGTTTACTTACCATGAACCCACTCCTGTTCATCTTCTGCTGTTTCTTTTTCAGAACCCTTTCAGCTTCCCTTATGGGCAGTAAACAAAGACCTGGCGCTCTCCCACTCGCACTTTCTGCATCAGCAATCAGCTCGTGAGGCCCCGCGACCTCTTCGAACTGAGGGTATCATTGACAATGAGAGGGAGCAAGCTGCTTCACCCAGACCCTTCCACAGGTTACGTGAGCATAACTTTGATTTTAATAGGACACGGAACATTCGTGACTACAGCGAAACCACGTAAGGCACGAAAATGAAGTCTTGGAAAGCAAATCCGTATCAGCTGACTTGTATTTACTACCTCAGGACTAACCTTTAGGCCAAAGATGCTTTAGAACGTGTGTCTGCAATTCCAGGCTGCCTGAGCTGAGACAGACCCCCTAGGAGGAGGTGGCACTGCCCTTTTTGCTTGGATTCATATGTGCTGGAACGTGGGACAGAACACACAGTGATTAGTGACTAGCATTACAACATGGATTTTCTGATGTTGGGAACAGCCTTTGTGTTGGTGCATGCTTTGAAAATCTCTCAAGAATGCATAGCTATTTCACACCACATTGTCTGCTTAAAAACAAATGTTCAAGGCCTCCTCATGGAATTCCCCAGTAATTGTAAGCATAAAACTTTTGGCCAGCTTTTTGTTCCTCAGTCTGTTGGCAGGCGTTTGTTACCAGTCTCACTGTGGGGCTGTTTTTCCCTATGAAAAAACAAACTCTAGTTGTAAATAAAGTTGCATTTATAAATATTTTGTACACACTAAGCATATAAATGCCTTGGCTGTAATGTAAATATATTTTTTATTATGCCAAAGTATGTATTATACTGTTGGTCTTGACAGCTGCATATCAAGTCGTAATTTGTTATGTGGGATTGAAAGCTCGTTTCTGAAGGGATAAAGGTGACTTTGTTTTGGAAAGAAGTGAATTACCATAGGTACGTAGTGAAACTGTGATACTGATGAATTTCATTGTTGCATACAACTCTGTGTGCATTAAGCTTGGCTGACCTGCCTGCAAGCTGATCCGTTTCGTTAGCAGAATTCCAAGTCTGATCCGTTTATGTATTGAGTCCTTAAATTTCTGTATTAGGCAGCCTGTCTTTTCCAGTAGAGCATAAAGCCCAACAGGCCCTGCTAGCCTGCTCCAGCCTCCAATGTTATCCAGCTTCTCAGGAGTTTCTGTAATAACAAACAAGAACGGTCTGGCATTAGGTGGGATGGTTGGTGGCCCTGCGTGTGGCAGGGGGGTTGGAGATTCATGATCCTTGAGGTCCCTTCCAACCCTGGCAATTCTGTGATACACAAACCAGTTTTCATCTGTTAAGATAGCTCTAAGATGGAACCTCAGAGTGGTTTGGTTCAGAAGTTTATGTAAAGTTCTGTCTTTAAAAAGCCTTTGTGTTGTGCTGTTGCAGGGAGGCACGGGTGTATCTTTCATAGCTGACAGTTAAACGAACTTCTGAAAGGAATGCCTTGATGAAAGGCACAGGGTAAGTTGGAAAAGCATGTGATGGATGCTCCATGAAATCCAGAATGGATTTTCTGTTTCCTCTGCGCTGCCAGGAAGCACGTGGGCTTTTTCTTTTATAAAAGAGCAGCAGGATTCTTGCTTTGTTGAACTCTCTAACGGTTCTGTAGGCCACAGAGTGGTCAAGATGTGTGAGTATTTGACAGGTGAGCTATTAAACAGTACAGGGGAGAACCACTATTGAAAATCCAGTCCTTGCTGGGAGAAATAGAGGAAGTGCAGAAGCTTCACTGGTTACAGTGGGGCATGCCTGACAGAATGAGGAGGAAGAACATTACAAAGACTTGTTCTGAAGAGTTGTTCTTCTGGGAAAACACATCAATGTGTACGAGGTGTTATGGTCCCATCAGTGATGGGTTTTCAGCAGGAGGTTGCACTCAGAGCTTGGAGTGCTTCAATGCCTGAAGAGCTCGGGGCTTTCTCAGTCACTGCTCTGCTTTCTCCAAGCCATGGGCTACGTACCAAAGTGAAAACAGCTGCATGGTGTATCTGTAAAGACAAAAACCTTCCTGGGGCAGCCCAAGCTTGGTATGTTGGGATTCCCACTGCTCCATTCCTGGGCAGTGTGTGACTGAGGTATCTGATGCAGTCATGCAAAATCACAGCTGAAACTTTGGAGACTGGGGAATAGTTAAGTAAAAGAGCCAGGAAATGCTGGGAAAAATATTTTCCCACGTCTCTTTGGGCCTGAATAGTAGATGTATGTAAATGGGCAGATGTTACTGAGGGCTCTTACCTTTGTTTTGAAAGCAACAGCAGTTGCCTTGGTAGCCAGCAGCTTCAGTAGGAAGAGGATCTAATTGTCTTTGACCTTTGTATAAAGTGAGGAAAGAGGTGTGTTAAACTCTCCTTGGCCTCTGACAGCTCAACTATTTTAAGGACTTGCACATAACATACGAGGAATTATATGTTTGTTTCTTTCTGGTTTTGCTTTCTCCAGGCTTTTCCCTTCCAGACAGCATTGAAGACCTTGTGGTTATTTTCTATCCAAACTTGTTTCTGTTGCAGGAGCTGTCAGTTTAAATTCAAATGAGAAAGGTCAGGTCATAAAACTACAGCAGCAGCAAAGAGTTTCCTGTTGGACTGCTGGCTGCAGCTATTCACACATGCTGATGTGGCAGAGCTCTGCTTAGCACGAGCAGGAAAGCAGCATCCCTGCTGCTGTTGCTTGATCTGCCATCATCCTTTGGTAAATGTTGAAGTTCTCCTTCCATTCCTCTCTCCTTTGGGTTAAGCTAACACAGGTTTCTCAGCTGTCTCGGTGCAGCTGTTGATGTTGGTGTGCATGAGGGGCACCCAGAGCTGAAGTGCTCTTAATGCACAGCTTTGCAGTACGACCAGATTCACACGAGGTTGGCAAGATGTGGTTAGCCAGGAGCAAAGCTTTAACATTGTGCACCAGAACAAGCTGAAGCCTGAGCTCTGAAATGCATTTAGGAGGTAAAGCTGCACTGATTTCTAGACTAATTGACCTATAAAAGCTGCCATCATGAATTAGGACATTGGCATCCTTGCACAAATGGAATCTCTGTGAAGGCCATAAGCTGGTTGTGAATAGCTGAAGCTTGCAGGTAGGTGAACACCTCGCAGTACTTAGCATTGTGGAAACACTTCCTTGGAAGGCCTGCACATGAAGATCAGGGGTCTCTTCCTAAGCCTTTTCTCCATGACGTACAGACAGTGCAGTGGCCATTCTGATTTCAGTAAACACAGTTTCTTCAATCAATGCCAAAGTACTCATGGTAGGGAATGGGGGGCAGTGTGATCAAAGCTGCTCTGCTTCCCTATTGCTATCTCCTATTATTTTTTTTTCCCTCACATAAGAATGTATATTTTGTACAGAATGTGTAATATATGTTTGTCTATTGTATTATACCTTCAATAAAATGCTGTGTACACTGAGTATCCATTGTAATTTTCATTAGTTTGCAGATTAAATAATGTATTGTTATTGAATGATATTTAATTTTTATAGGGAAGAAAATAAAGTCAACTTCATAAGTGAGTTTCAGGTGGGATTCTGATCTTTTTACTGTGAATGTTACATCAGTCCTTTGCTGTAACAGGGGAAGAACAGCTGGCATTAAGCCTGGCTCATGACTTAACTGGCACACATGGCAGCAAAGCGATGCTGGCACTGTGCAGCCCTTCCTCAGAAGGTTGCCCACCAGCTGCCATACCTCCTACAAGCTGCTGTGAGTACTTTTTCCATTCCTTCAAACACCTTTCCCTATTTCTATCACTATAACTCTGTGTTCTGTCCATCGCCTTGGCAGTTCCTGGCTTTCACCATTTCACCTTGGCAGCAGCTGCCCAGTGGGGCTCAGCCCTGGGTCCCTGCCCAGCTCTGTGCTGCATGCAGTGAGCCTGCCAGCACTGCTCCCCCAGGCAGAGCAGCATCACCTTTGTAGGACCTTCACTGCAGCAACCACAGAGCGGAGTTGGCTGTATGTAAATGTGTGTTCCTTTGCTTTTTCAGCAAGACTTAAAGGCCTGCCCTTTCCCTGCATGGAGGCTCTGGGCTTCGCGTGCCTGCTGACCTGGCTTCCTCCCTGCCCAGCTCTTACAGGGCACTGAGCACAGCTGCCTGCCTGCCCAGCTGCTGCGAGATGCATGCTGATGTTTCTGAATTCACGCGGTGTCTGCAGCATCCCCCAGGGTTCAGCTCTTTGCACACTCCTGTTTTCAACCCGCTGTCGTTGCATCGGTGCTGCGAGGCTGCAGGGAGCAATGGGACCCCACCTGTCCTGGGATCAGTTCAACACGGCGTGCAGGAAAAACCAGCTATCAGCTATCCTGGTGAGTTCAGCCCTCCCAGGTTGGCTGTGCACATCCCAGCCCTGGCACGGTGTCAGAGAACCAGAAGCTATTGAAGATAAGATCATGAATAGTTAATGCTCTCAGTTACCCAAGCATATTTAAAAATTAACACTGCAGTCTGGTTTGAGATGAGATGAAAAAAAATACAAAAAAAAAAACAACCAAACAAACAAAAAACTGGGTCATCAAAGAGAGGGGAAAAACAGAAAACAATTGCATCTACCCTTGGGCTTTGCTAACGACTGAGTTTTCGTGGAAGATCTCATCCCTTCCTTGCTCTCCCTCTGCACTTTGCAGTGCAGCAGCTCCCATCCTGGCCCTGCAGTGCTCCCAGCACAGCTCTGCCTTCCTCCAGTCAGGAGGTCAGCGTGGCTGTTAAGGAAAGCTTCTGCACCAGGGGGTGGGCGCAGCACAGGGCAGTTCCCTGCTTCCCATCCTGCAGCTGGAGCTGCTGCGCTGCATGGAGCAGCGACAGGAGGAGGTGGGGTGGGGTGCAGCGTGGCAGAGCTCTGGCAAACCCTAAGCAAGGCTTCTCATTATCCCTGTTAGCCCTGAGGCTGGGAGCAGATCCATCCAGGGTTCCTCTCTGCAGGGAAATGGAGCGTGATGAACACCACCACTTATCTCCTTTTCTCCCCACGAGAAGTGATCGATCTGCACCACAAAGGGTTTGAGCCGATTGATCCGTGTTTATTGGCAGGCAGGGCCTTGCACCAAAGCTCTGTGTGCCCTTTGGGAGGGTCTGCCTGCCTCTCTGCCTTCTCCAGCCTGCCTGCAGTGCTGCCTATCCGTGCCGGGGCACAGCGTGGTTCAGGGCTGCGCCCCGTGCAGCGTGTCACACTCACAGCCACGTGTGAGTCTTTGTGAGTTCCCCCCTCTGTTGCAGTTTTCCTGCACTGCTGCTGTGTTTTTCCACAGGTCCTGCCTGTATTTCGTGTCGGTGGGGCACTGGCAGGAGTGTGTGCTGTGCAGGGCTCTGGGTTCTGCCGTGTCCCAGCTGGGGCAGAGCAGGGCTGTGGGGGTCAGTGCAGACCCCAGGCTGCGACTTGCAGCTCTCACCTCCAGCCCAGCCCTTGGTGGAGGCAGATCTCCCCTAAATGAGATCCTCGTGAGCGTAACTCATGGATAACACAGGGGATCGCTGCTCTGCTCCTTGCTCTGAGGATCCGATTTCACATTACGTTGAATGTCTCATCTGAAGACTTATGTGTGTATTTCATCCCAGCATTTAGAAAAATCCCCCCATATCCACGCTCAGATTCACTGCTGCTCTGGCCCTGCCCGGCGCTGAGTGCCATCGAGTGCTGCTGTGATTTGTGGGTTGCCAAAGGGGATCTCAGGATGCAGAAATAAATGCGCCCCGCTCGATGAATGGCGAGGAGCCCGCAGAGCCCTGGCAGCACTCAGCCCAGCCTGGCATTGCAGGCTGGATCCCTCTAAGAAATTTTAATTAACTTAAAACAAATGCGCAGGAAAGGGCCAGCCATTAGCTGCTATTGCTTCCTGAGTCTCATCTCTGCTAATTAAGCAGCGTGTCAGTGCAAACGACCTACAGATAGCAAAGCACCGAATTTGCATTTAAATTAAAAACCATATTTTTAAAAAATAAAGGTTTCATTACGCCCTGATTGTTTGTCTTTCCAGCATCCACATCCTGACCCCCCCCCCAACCTCAAGGGATGGGTGCTGCAGAGGGGCACAGGGGCACCTGGCTGCCCTCTGCCATGCTGCGCTGCCCGGCCTGACAGCTCTGATTTCTTTCTCCTGGTTAGAGAACATGAGGTTTTTGACAGCTGCCTTTGCCATTATTCTTCCCTTAATGCTGTTGTTGTTTTGCGTTACTGTCAAATCACATCTTATTAAAGTTTTTCCCATCCTGTCAGCAGCAGATGAAGGAGCGCGGATGCCTGCGTAATCTCCCGGCTCTGTCCGGGGAAATTGCTTTCCATTATTGATGGAGCAGTGATGGAGGATGTGACCCAGCCATGCTGGGGGCTGCAGGCCCTGCCAGACCCCCACAGCTCTGCAGCAGCTCTGGCTCATGGGGCACAAATGATGGGAAGCCAGGGCAGGGCGTGCAGGGTGAGGGCAGCGTCCCCTGGGTGCCGGTGTCCCATTTCCAGATCAGATTCTGATCAGCTGTTGGGCTCCGGTTACTCTCTGTTCTTTGGGAACTGTCACACCTTTGCAAAGCCACTGACGCTTCCCACGGCTTGCTAAAAATTCCGTAGCACCAAAGCAGTTCTTCTGGCTTTGTTCAGCTCCTGCCAGCAGAGCACAGGGCATGGCTGGGAGCCCGCAGCATTGGAGGCACCTACTTGGTTTTGTGGCACAGGAGTGTGGGCATTTCCTTTGAGCTCGTTCTGTAGCTGCCCAAAAATGCTGGATTGCTGGGCCTGGGTCTGTGCCAGCCCTGGGTGCTACTGCTGGTGCTATGGGGGTTTGCATCCTAGGTGTGAGGGGACCACGGTGGCACAGCGTGGTGATGGATGGGGCTGGGATCTGCGCACTCAGCAGCAGCCCAGCAAAGCGGGTTGGTTGGAAGTCACTGCAGCAAGCACGATGTTTTTGCTGATAAATCTTGTTTGTAAATCAGCTGCATGCCAGACTGGTAAATAATGCATCTTCTAGATGAAAACACTGTTCAAATGAGGACTGGAAGGAGCAGCCCATGCTGCAGGCACAGCCGGTCCTGTGCAGCAGGGAGGGCAGGCGCAGCGGGACCTGGGAGCAGATTGCCTTCTGCACTGCTTTCCTAATTGCCTTCTTAAGCTTTTGGTTCCCACAACGTCTTCCATGGGCTTCTCCCCGAAGCATAAATCAGGGAGAGGCTTTGGTGGGAACGTGAAGGTATGAACTCAGAGCAGCAGGGGAAGCTGGAGGCTGCTCAGTCGGTGCCAGCTCAGCCCATTCCCAGCAGCACCCAGCCACACTGGAGCCCTTGCACAAAGCACACGTGCAGAAGGGGCTGCTTATGGGATGGCACAGCCCTGCCCTGCTCAGGAATGGGACCCTTTGTTGGCAGCAGCCCCCTGCAGCTGGCAGCCCTGGTCGTGGGCTGGGTGCTGTGTTTTGGGAAGCTTCATCGTCCCCAGGAAGCTGGCAGTGCAGGTTCTGCCCATCAGCAGAGCTGTCCCTTCTGTGCAGGGTGGGGGGGGAGTTTGTCAGTGATTTATTTTGTGCTGTTATTGGAAGCGATTGCTGGTCAGCAAAGCGCCGCGAGGCAGAAATGGAGCAGCCTGCAGATGGCTGGGAGAAAATGGGTTCGATTCCCTGAATGCTGCTAAATGGGTGGGGAATAGTTAAGGGCTAATTACAAATCTGAATGGTTTCCAGGAGGAAATAGCATGGGACAGTTAGGGTGGGCTGTTGTTACAAACCACGCTGTGCATGTTGGGCTCTGAGCACATCCTGGTGCCAGGCGGGCAATGCCCTGCTCCCATTCTCCCCACCTGCATCTGGGTCCTCCAGTTCAGCCTCCACATCCATGAGCTTCCAGCTGGGAAGGAGAAATATGGTGTCCCTGCTGATGCTCACCTTTGTTCTCAATTGCAGAGTGCTGGGACAGCAGCACCAGCACTGCAGCACTGCAGGGTGAGCTGAGGTCCCTGCAGGGCTGCACTCCCTGAGCTGCTGTTGGGTGTTTTTCTTCCAGGCACTTTGCAGAGCAGTGCCATGAGGGGAAGGGGCAGCGTGCAGCCCTGCCACATCCACCCAACAACTGTGAGCCCTCCTGGCTTTGGTTTGAGCTCCAAAACTGATATTCCACAAAGGTAATTTTCTGCTTCTCTGGCTCAATTCTATTCATCTTTCAGAGGGTAATTAGCATCACTTCAGTGTTCTTTTATGCCCAACTAATTGCACCTTGCTTCAGGAGTGAAAGTTAATGCCTCTCCATTTCGGTTAGCACAGCAATATGTGATTAGGGGTGAGGCCAGGCAGAAAAGTGAACCACGAGCAGCGCTGTCTGCCTGCTGGTCTGAGGCATTCTGCCTGCACCAGGGGACAGATTTCCCATCTCACATCTGAGATGCTCCTTATCAGCGATGCCCCAAGCACAGCGGGCAGCACACAGCAGTCAGTGCATCAGACAGGGCACTGCCACAGGAGAAGGGAAGGGCTGAGCATCACTGAGTACCAGGGAACCTCCACGTGCCCAGCAGCCACTGCCTGGCACCTGGGGGCTGCTGGGTGGGTGGCAGCAGTTC